GACATGATGGCCCTGAGGTCGCTCACCTGTATATAGGCCCCCCCACACCCCCGGGCCAATTTTTACCCAAGGGCTTTTATTTGTTTATTTGAACAGACTTGGTAGACACCCATAAGAAGATGTTTCATGCTAAACATCTAAGTTCTAGCTCATTGGGTTTTTTAAAAAAAAGATTTTTAAAGTTTTTACTATACACATATAGTTAAAAACAATGACACCCCTGGGGTAGGGCCAGTTTTGACCCCTGGGCTTTTATTTGAACAAACTTTGTAGATATTTACTTAAAGATGTTTCATGCTTAATATCTAAACTCTAGCTATTTGGGTTTTTTTCAAAGAAGATTTTTAAGTTTTTGCTATACACATATAAGGAAAATCAATGACTTCCCCCCCCCCACCCCCCCGGGCGGGGCCAGTTTTGACCCAAGGGCTTTTATTTGAACAAACTTGGTAGACACCCATTAGAACATGTTTCATGCTAAATATCTTAGCTCTAGCTCTTTGAGTTCTTTTAAAAGAAGATTTTTTAAGTTTTTACTATATGCATATAGGGAAAATCAATGACCCCCTGGGGCGGGGCCAATTTTGACCCCAGGGCTTTTATTTGAACAAACTTGGTAGACACTCATTAGAAGATGTTTCATGCTAAATATCTTAGCTCTAGCTCTTTGGGTTCTTTAAAAGAAGATTTTTTAAGTTTTTACTATATGCATATAGGGAAAATTTATGACCCCCTGGGGCGGGGTCAATTTTGACCACAGGGCTTTTATTTGAACAAACCTGGTAGACATTCACTAGAAGATGTCTCATGCCAAATATCTAAGCTCTAGCTCTTATGGTTTTTTAAAAGAAGATTTTTTTAAGTTTTTACTATATGCATATAGGGAAAATCAATGACCCCCCGGGGTGGGGCCAATTTTGACCACAGGGCTTTTAATTTGAACAAACTTGGTAGACACTCACTGGAAGCGGTTTCATGCTTAATATCTTAGCTCTAGCTCTTTGGGTTCTTTAAAAGAAGATTTTTTAAGTTTTTACTATATGCATATAGGGAAAATCAATGACCCCCGGGGCGGGGCCAATTTTGACCCAAGGGCTTTTATTTGAACAAACTTGGTAGACATTCACTAGAAGATGTTTCATGCTTAATATCTAAGCTCTAGCTCTTACGGTTCTTTAAAAGAAGATTTTTTTAAGTTTTTACTATATTCATATAGGGAAAATCAATGACCCCCTGGGGCGGGCCAATTTTGACCCCAGGGCTTTTATTTGAACAAACTTGGTAGACACTCACTAGAAGATGTTTCATGCCAAATATCTAAGCTCTAGCTCTTAGGGTTGTTTAAAAGAAGATATTTAAAGATTTTTCTTTCGGTTGCCATGGCAACCAGAGTTCTGCATGGAATTAAATTCTTTGAACACTTTTAAAGGTGACCACCAAAGGAACATTCCTGTGAAGTTTGGATGAAATTGGCTCAGTGGTTTATGAGGAGATGTCATTTAAAGCAAAAGTTTACGGACGGACGCCGGACGGACGGACGCCGGACGAAAAGCGATCACAAAAGCTCACCCTGTCACTTTGTGACAGGTGAGCTAAAAAATGGATATATTATTGACTGAAACAATGAAAACTGATACAAGTCCTTTACTTTTCTAAATCGGGTATTATAAAAGTAAGTTATGATTACTTTTTACCTCCATTTCTTTCTCTATTTGATTCAAAACAAAAAACAAAAATTTGAGTTTCATGTTTTTCTGTGAGCAAAATAAAAATTCTCATATGAATTTTGTCCCAAAGTGAAGGTATTAGGTCCACCTACTACTACATGATTTTTCTAGTTATTGTAAAAGATAATTCCCAACCCATAGTTTATTATTACTATACATGCATCTTTAGAAGTATTGAGCTTCTGAATTGTTGTTTACACACTTTTTTTTCTCTTTTTAAAATAAAAAGTCTACAATAAATAACAAAAAATAATTACAACAAAAAACAAAGATCACTAACCAAAGCATGATAAATGTAAAATATTAAGTAAGAAAATCAGTTTGTGCCATTCTAGAATTTGTCAATTCCAAACTGAAACTGGCCTATCAAATGTACAAGTTTCAGAGTAAAAATTATTTGTATACCAGTTAGGTAAAGCCGTTCAACCATTGGTAAATATCAAATTTCAAAACAGCCAATCAGAAGGGAAAACCAAGTGAAACAACAAGTCAACAAATTGCCATTCTACGATTGGTCAATTATAAACTAGAACTGGCCAATCAGATGCTAAAGTTCAAACTGGTTTTAGAACTTAAGAAGATAAATCTAAAAACACAACATAGATAAACTATATAGAGAACCTTAAAACAGGAAAAATATAAATCTCACCCAGAGAGGTACAAAACAAAATGTTGACTAGTAAATAGTGCTGTTCTTGAAATATGAAAAAAAATTAATGCAAATTTTACATAAATATTGTTTTGTGGAAATAATGAAAGACTTTAAATGAAAAAAACATGATTAAATCCCCCTTTTTTAATATTTTTTTAATTTTTATAAAATGGGAAAACTTACAAAATTTGACTTTCTAATATTTATTAATTTTTATAAAAAGGAAAACCCCAATCAAGAATGACCCCAAGCAAAAAACTGGCCATTTTTTTCAGTTGTATCTACAAAAAGCTATACTAAAAGTATTTTTATTTACTTAGAATATACAAACATGTCAATAGCTACTTTATCAACAAAGTTACTCAAAACTGCATTACAAATCAAACATAATTTTGTACTGTACTGAGTTTCTATGAATATTATCGAAACAAAAGTGAATATTCTGAGTCAGTTATTTTATTTATGAATTCAAGAATGGAAATCTGCTAGGAAAGTTTTATATCTCACTGAAAACTAAGTATCCAAAATTACCGTCACCACAAAAATTAGAAATATACTTAAATCATATTAAAGTGAGAACCTGTTCTATAAAAAGATAATAAAGAATAATACCATTGTAACAGTCATGGAAAGAGAGAATAAACGAAAGAAAAATGAAAAAGCAAAACAACAAAAACATGACATACAATAAAATAAATATTTGTATATAATTGTCAAGAATAAGAGTCTATGTAAACAGATCTTTATAAAGAATCCTCTGGATAACAAACTATAAATAGAAATGGATTTCTTGAGAGAAAAAAAACAACAATTACAACAAAATAAAACAAATAAAATCTCAAAATTACCTGATTTTGTTTATAAATGCAAACTGAAGCCTAGTAATAACATAGTAATGTTTTTTTGTAAAAATGTTCATATCTTCTTGTAATGATGATTCTTATCCCATAAAAAGTTTAAAATATCAGAATCTTTAAAAAAACAACCCTAACATATCTCTCAATAACTGTCTCCCCAGAAAACCCAGTTACGTGAAAAAAAAATTGAATTATCTTTTCTTGAATCAAAAGATGGCATATATTATATAGGTTGTTTGTGTTTGGGTAAGATGAAATTTTATTTCATCGAATGAGCTTCAAAAAACAGTGACTGTATTTGAAGATCAAAAGTTCAGTTTTCTGAAAATGAAAGTGAACACAATAGAAGGTCATTCATCACTGGATTGCCTTTAAAAAAATTTTGCCCCATCTTTGAATTAAGACAGTTCATTTTTATTACATCTTGGATTTCAAGATCTAGTAAACTGAAGATGAACACTGGACAGAGGTGTCTCGTTAAACATCAAAAAGATATAAATGAAGTAATTACTCTACACTGATGGCTTAATCCTGTCCTTTATTCTACCAGACAATTGTGTATTTAACATGTTGGGTATCAAGTTGGACAAGTGTTATGACAACTTTGTAGCTTTACTGTTTGAGGAATACCTAAGATGCCCTTCTGGGTATCAGCATAAGGTATAAGCCATCATATGAATATAATTAACAACCTTCTGTAAGCTACATAGCCTCCTAATATAAAAAATAAAAAATCTCTATATTGAATCAAATGAATGTAAAGCTTTTAAAATTCTTTTCCCTTTGTTAATGAGCCTGAACACTTCTTGAACCTATATGTATTTCTATATAATTAATATGGAAATCATTATTTTTTTTCATAAACAAAACAACAAATATTCTGTTTATCTTAAAAAGTAAATCTTAATAACAATTCATCTAATAAAAGTAACAAACAAAGATATATTATTGCACAAGAAAAGCAGCCCATGGTATGTGAACACCAAAAACAATTTGGACAGATAAGAAATAAAAGAGTAAGGGTAAGGGGATAATTTATCATTTAAACCGACAGAACTATTTTGGCATTTTTACAACTTGTCCATGTGTTAATATGCACACATATTGTCTCGTGTGTCACTTCACCATCAATGTGATGCAATAAAATCAACCCTTCATAAATGCCATAAATACAAAATACCTTATATTTACAACTTTAGACATTTTTAATATTCTACATTTATAGCCCAACACATTTATATCAACTTACACTATAAAGGGCCCTGTAAGCCTTAAAGATGCCGACATATTTATTTTTTGAAAAGCTTTTTATTTCTAGTTTCCTATTAGTCTCATTCGCAATAAAGCTGAGCCATCTTTGGCATTTATGCGAAAAGTACAGTTATAATAATACCGTAGTTTGTATGGGATGTTCAAATACTATCTTTGTTTAATTTTACTACCTTTTAACCCCAGAGTGCTTTAAATTTTTTTTTAAATTGAATTTAAACATCTTTCATGTTTTTAAAAAACTATTTTTTTTTTGGTTTGGGGGGAAAATTCATGCCAACAAAAGTATGAAATCAAAAAAAGGGGGTTTTTTTTAAACCTGGGAAAGGGGTGGTTTTTAAGACCTTTAGGGGGCCCTTCCGTTTCATTTTTTTATTTTAAAAGGCAAATTTAAAAATTTTTTGTCAAATTATTATACAACAAATTTAAAACACTTTTTTTCCCTATTCAACATTTTCAAAATTTTTTTTTTCCATTTCCCCCAAATTTCGGTCCCTTAACATTTTCAACTTGGGGGGAATAAACCAAACAATAATCTTGTACATTTATATCCTCATTAATTCATAATATCTTAAAATAGTAGTGTCAGACACTTATCATATATTTAACTAGGTTTCTAAGAGATTACAATAGACATTTTTACATCTCATATTAATAGCCTTAGACATATTGTAACACCTTACATTAATAGCCTCAGTCATCAAAAACATTTTACATTATTAACCTCAGTCATTAATAACATTTTACTCGGTCATAAATAACATCATTTATTACATCTTGCATAAATAATAGCAGTCTACATTAATAACATACATCTTTAATAACATCTTACATTCATAACCTCAGTCATTAATAGTAGCCTACATTAATAACATACATCTTTAATAACATCTTACATTCATAACCTCAGTCATTAATAGTAGCCTACATTAATAACATACATCTTTAATAACATCTTACATTAATAACCTCAGTCATTATAATAGCAGTCTATATTAACAACTTAACTTTTTAATAACTTCGTGCATTAATAACCCCAATTAATTGAAACTTCTCAAAGTAATTACATCCTCGTGAATATTATCAATAGAGTTAATAAAACAGAAAAAAAGAGTATTATCGATTCACAACCTTATAAACTAAACTCATTTAAAGAGTGTGAAACAACCTACCATTGCACAAGTTTTATCACAACATTCTTGTTAGTATGTACAACTATCATTTTGATAACCAGTATTCTCTATTACTAACATATATTCAACAACTTCCATACCCATAACTGAAGTGGAGATTTTTATTATGAGTAACTTAAATTGACTTCACTTTATAGAGAAAACAATAAAAAAACAACTTAATGTAAAATGTAAAATCACATTTTCTGAGTTTTTTCTTTTAGAAACTAGAAAATTATTAATGTAATATAATCAGTAATTGTTTATATCACAAACAAAAATATTTATCAATATAACAAAAAAAAAATTTGATGATTCAATCTCACATAAAACTATCTTTTGAGACAAAGCAGTACTTCACAGAACGTTTTTTATCTTGTGAAAACTGCAATTCCATTTCAAAAATAGCTACAAACATTTCAATGTTTGAATGTAGAAATATGTTTGAATTTACTGTTTCAAGTCAAAATGATATTTTTTTATTGAAAAGTTTTGACATTCTTTTAACAGTCACACTTCTCGATAAAGAATTTTCACATTGGTCCTGTTTAATGTATCAGAAGGTGCATAATTTTATTTCGTTTTAAAGACCAACTTGAACAACCTCATTATTATATTTGTTAACTGCTTCTTTCAAGGTTATGAACAAGTTTATTTAACTGCTATACAGGGTGAATAAATTGCTGAAAAAGTCAACATAAACAAAATAAAATCTGTTTCAAAAAGAAACTAAATATACATAAAGACCCTATAGATAGATATACATCATATGTTTGCTGTATAATGATGTTATATATTTGGAAATAAGCTATATATAGCTATGATATTGTCTCTATCAAACCAATTTTCCCCTAAAAAATGAAGGAATGTTATAACTATCTTCACCCGAAACCAAATAAATACAACATAAAAAGAACACAAATTTTGGCAAAAAGACCATCTATCTATAACTTAAAGGCCTAATATGTCCCAGAAATACTTTTATTTCTATTCCATTATAGCTTTTCATTTTTGATGTCTTGTTATAGTTTCCAAAAAGTAACACATTTGTCATCATCACCTGAACCATCTTTTGCTTTTTGGCAATTTGTACAACTATAACAGTTTAGTACTTTTTATGGATGTCAGAATACTACTTTGTTTACATTTTGCTACATTTATGACACATAATTTCACATTCAGCACTACTTTCTCCAGGCAAAAAGCATCTAACATGCTCTAAAACCATTATTCAAACATCATAAAATCATATTTGCCCTTTCTTAAGAATGAAAAATGTAATTATTTCTGTGGCATAATGTGCCTTTAACAAAGTATATAGTAATATGCTAATCCCTTTTAAAACAAGGTGTAAGTAATCAGCTGATGTATTCCTGGTAAAACTTGCTAACAAATAAAGGCCATAAACGGCATGTGACTAAACTTTACTCTCAATGTTCAACACTTTACTACAACACTAAATGGAACCCTCAATATACATGTATGTCTGTAATACTTGAAGCAAAAAAATTAACATAACATCTTAATTATATAGTATGATAATCCACAAGTAATTCTTGCAGAAAATCGTCCCTTTTTTTTTATCATAAATTTCTAGCACTTAAAACATTCTTATGGAAACTTATAATACCATTTTTTTTGGAGAAAAAAAAAACAACCACAAAAAGAGCCTGAAAATTGACATAAGTATGATCTAAAATTTGTCAAAGAGAAGAGCTGTTACTGTTAACTGCATTCTGATAATGTTTGTGGTAGGTTTGTGGTTTAAAAAGCGTCCTTGATGTTACTGAAAGGTCGTACCGCCAAGTCAACAGGTAACCGGAACTTTACAGAGTTCAATTTGTCAAGAGACTTTATTGCATCATCAAACCCTGTAAAATCAAAACATGAATTAAAATCTGACCTTCTATTTTAATAATTACCTAAGAAAATAAGATATGTAGAAATTTAAATGGCAAATAACGATTCAAAACAGCTTCACCTGAAGAATCTCAGCAAAAGTCTAAAAGCAATTTTCTAAAATCACAGTCTTGCAGACATTGCAAAACACTGTTTTAAGTTTGTGAAGCCGGCATCCAATGTAACAAATTTAATTTATCACATTTTTGGTCAATCCACCTTAACATGTTGCCTGGAATACAAACCAGTAATTACCAATTACCGATCTCTCTGTAAGTGGCTGACTACTAATCATTTCATTTTTGAAACTTCTTTTCTGGCCCTGTGAGCTACCTACTCAATGGACTGCAACCATTTATACAACTTTGACATGGGACCACCCAAATATCAATCCTGTAAAGTTTGGTTAATGTGCAGGCATTGGTTTTAGAGGAGATGTTATTTAAAGAAATTGTTGATGACACGAAACAGAGGGCAATCACAATAGCTTGCCATGAACACCTTGTGTTCTAGTGAGCTATAACAAGAAAAACAGAATGTCAAGTCTAACCTGTTCTGGCAACATAACTCCAATCCTGGTAATAATTGTCTACGACAGTTTGTGTCCGGAATATCAACTTTAACCACTGTGTAAGTTTGTTCTCACTGAAAGATAATTATACATGTATGATCATTATCATCATTATTGTTATATATTACATTTATTGTTATAAGTTCATGTAGTATATGAAACATCATTCCATAAAGGGTTCTTTAAACAACAAAATATATCTCAAAGTAATTATTCTTTTTGTTAATCATCAGTCTTAATAAACATTTCCATGTTTACATACAAAGAACAGTAATACATATACTTGGTCATTTTCAAACTCTAAACTTTACAAAAGCCAGCAATTTGGTTGAATAATTTGTCTTTGTAATGCTTATTAAAAGGTTTCCTCACTCAACATTATGGTTTGTTTCTTTGGTTTTTATACAGATTTTATCTTCTTTTTTTTGGTCATATCTTGGCAGTCTCAAACAAACCGGCTTTCCTGGATAACTTACTAGTAATGACCAATTTTCCAAAGTGACTGACTACTTATTCTACAAGATCTCTGAATCATAGGTGTGAGACATATGACCATTAGACTCAATGCCAGAGATCAATTGTCAGGGAAATATTTCACCTCATAGCAACTCCTGTATTACAAATCTGATGCTCTTCCTTTTGAACTAAAGGGGTGAACAACAAAATTGTAAAGGAAGACCAATTTTGTTTGAAATCTTTAAAACATATATGTGACTATTTCCAGTTTCTAAGCAAGGCTATTCCATTGCAGACAGTAAACATGGAGACAGTTAAAATACTTTAAATATAAAAATAACACTAAAAAATAACACTGACTTGAGAGCGAGACATATGAATGCCTTGAAGTGAGAATCTTCGGATCTTTTGAGATGTGTATGTGAGGAGATGACTGTATCTATTGCACCGAGCAGCGTCTGCTTTGACGTGATCGCTTTACCACCAACGATCTCCAGATGGAACGACTGAGACAATTTCCTTGCTGGAGATTGGTTATACTCTGTCCCATGCTGGAAAAATGATCAGTAATAATATTTTAGTATTTTGATAGGTTTTAGTCCTACCCAATTTCTATATCACATAGCATACATAATAATGGAATATAAAATTTAAGGCAAGAGCAATATAAAATATAATAAATGGGTGGTTTACACACTAAGTCATTAAAAACTAGAACTATCACTAAATGTGATTAATACCCCCACAAGTCTGCTTCGGAAATGAGGATGTTACTAGTAACAGAATACCTTGTAATAGAATTGAAACATAGAGTTATGGTTGTGGGCAATTAAAGATAATTGTGGTTCATGTATGATGCATTTCCTTTCAATGTGGTTGGCCATTGATGAAGTTTAATTGCATTACTCTGTAATAAGTCCAGAAAGACAAAGAAAAAGAACAAAGGGCAATAACTCTATAAATACTGAAGATAGAGTTATAGTTCTTGTGCACTGCACTTCCTCTTATTGTGCTTGACCATTGTATGAAGTTGTTTTGAATTCCAACCAGTATGTTTTAAGTTATGCTCCGGACAAGGAAAAGTATCAAAGGGCAGTAACTCTGTATTTTGTCAAAATGGAGTTATGGCTCTTGTGCACTGCACTTCCTTTTATTGTCCTTGACAACTGTATGAAGTTGTACTGAATTCCAAACAGTAGTTTTCAAATTATGCTCTGGACAAGGAAAAGTAACAAAGGGCAATAACTCTGTAATTAGTCAAGATGGAGTTATGGTTCTTGTGCACTGCACTTCCCCTTATTGTGCTTGACCATTGTATGAAGTTGTTTTGAATTCCAACCAGTAGTTTTCAAGTCATGCTCTGGACAAGGAAAAGTAACAAAGGGCAGTAACTTTGTAATTAGTCAAGATGGAGTTATGGTTCTTATGCACTGCACTTCCTCTCAATGTGCTTGACCATTGTATGAAGTTATAATGAATTCCAACAATAAGTCTTCAAGTTATGGTCCGGACAAAAGAAAGCAATGGAAAAGTAACAAAGGGCAATAACTCTGTAATTAGTCAAGATGGAGTTATGGTTCTTGTGCACTGCACTTCCCCTTATTGTGCTTGGCCATTGTATGAAGTTGTTTTGAATTCCAACCAGTAGTTTTAAAGTCATGCTCTGGACAAGGAAAAGAAACAAAGGGCAGTAACTCTGTAATAAGTCAAAATGGAGTTATGGTTCTTGTGCACTGCACTTCCTCTCAATGTGCTGGACCATTGTATGAAGTTATAATGAATTGCAACAATTAGTATTCAAGTTATGGTCCGGACAAAAGAAAGCCATGGAAAAGTAATAAAGGGAAATAACTCTGTAATTACTTTAGATAGAGTTATGGTTCTTATGCACTGCACTTCCTCTCAATGTGCTTGACCATTGTATGTAGTTATATTGAATTCCAACCATTAGTCTTCAAGTTATGGTCCGGACAAAAAAAAGAAGGCAATGGAAAAGCAACAAAGGGCAATAACTCTGTAATTACTTTAGATAGAGTTATGGTTCTTGTGCACTGCACTTCCCCTTATTGTGTTTGACAATTGTATGAAGTTGTTTTGAATTCCAACCAGTAGTTTTCAAGTTATGCCACTGACAAGGAAAAGTAACAAAGGGCAATAACTCTGTAATTAGTCAAGAGAGAGTTATGTTTCTTACGCACTGCACTTCCTCTCAATGTGCTTGACCATTGTATGTAGTTATATTAAATTCCAACCATTAGTCTTCAAGTTATGCTCCGGACAAGGAAAATGCAACGGACAAAAAAAAAAGCAATGGAAAAGCAACAAAGGGCAATAACTCTGTAATTACTTTAGATAGAGTTATGGTTCTTGTGCACTGCACTTCCCCTTATTGTGTTTGACAATTGTATGAAGTTGTTTTGAATTCCAACCAGTAGTTTTCAAGTTATGCCCCGGACAAGAAAAAGTAACAAAGGGCAAGAACTCTGTAATTAGTCAAGATAGAGTTATGGTTCTTGTGCACTGCACTTCCTCTCAATGTGCTTGACCATTGTATGTAGTTATATTGAATTCCAACCATTAGTTTTCAAGTTATGCTCCGGACAAGGAAAATGCAACGGACGTCTGGACCGACCGACCGCCCGACCGACCGACCGACCACCGGGTGACTCCTATATACCCCCCCAAACTTCGTTTTTGGGGGTATAATAATTAAATATTGCTTTTTCAATGTCATAACTTTCAACAGGAATTCCATGTACACCACTGTTTGTTTCCTTATTCTTATTATGAACACATTTTTGATCATGTCTCGGCATCAGTCCACCTTACTGGCTTTCCTGAATAACTAACCAGTAATTACTCATTGAGCATATTTCATGCACCTTCTGTCAAAATTTACATGCATATTATTTAAAAAATACAATGACATAATTCTTAACTGGTACTGACTGTTTCTCCCTTTTACTCCTTTTAAGGTTTTTTTTTATAATCAAAGTAAAACATCTAAATTTTTATTTCTTATTTACCTTCATTTCATAATACTTAAGTAGCAGATCCCAGGCATGCATTTCCTTGGTGACAGCAGCTGATCTTGATGGGAAACATCCCCATGGTACAAGTGTTGAACTTTGACCCAGCTGAAACATAGGTAAGAATTCAAATAACTGTTACAACTAAATATTTAACAACTTCTGATAATTTTATAAACACTAGTATTGATTCTATTGCACATGTTCTTCATTAATGTTTACGACTAATAATGTAAGGATTGTATGGCACTGTTTAATTCTGAGAACAGATTCTAGAGTGTGTCTACAGTAAACTCCACTTATAACTAACTCATTAGGCTTGGCATTCAAAATCTGTTCCTTATATCTGGAGTTCCTTGTAAGCATATAGCGAATTAATTCCTAGTATCAGGAGTTTTTATAGCCAACAGATTGACATATAACAAACTAATTGTTTACCATTGTCCTCCATTTTGAAGAGCATTTGTTTTAGAACAATTAGTTATTTATTTCCTTTTTAGATACGATACCCGAGAGTATACTTTTAGGAATTTGAAAATCTTTTGCTTTTTCAGTTTTAGTTTTACCCTTTCACCAATTTCTCATAAAAGATCATATTTTGTTTCTAAACCCAGTGCTTTTCGTGTTCTTTCTATGATTAAGAATAAAAAAGATTTTCGATTTTTCCTTCCTTTTATATTGAAACTTTTATCATATTTTAAGGGTGACCTTTAATTATGAAATAAATAGATTTCTTTTTATTTTAATCAAGCATACTTTGAAGTTTTCAATGGATTAGCAAGGAAAAGCATTTGCGATTATGTTGAAAACCGATTATAAATTATCATAATTACTTTACTCGAGCAAAGAAACATTTGGATAAAAAGAATAACCGTTTTATCATGGTGACAAGAACACTAATGCTAAAAATATCCTAAATAGAAAACTATTATGTACTGCTATACAAATTCATTTCCACAGCTGTATTGAAGTACATAAAACAATAAAAGGTACATTCAGCGGAGTTTTAATCCGTGCAAATGAAAACAAAAGTTGAAAATGCTGGATCTCATATTTTTGAGTTTGTTATAAAAGTGTAATTTTCTATACTTTTAACTAAATTTGGACAAGGAAATGAGTTCCTTATAAGCAAAAATTCCTTATAACCGTTCGCTTTCACTGTATATTTTTATATTCAATAAAGAAGGGCAAAATTCGAGCCCAAAAAAATGATCCTTATAACCGGAAGTTCGCTATAAGTGAAGTTTACTGTATATGCTTAAAGCTTCCTATATATTTGAACTTAAATAAACTCTGTACAAAGAAAGAAAAGACATGCAAGGACACACTGTCTATTATACATGCTCTATAGAATTTCTAAGAGAAGAAAAATACCCTGTACTTACTTCCATCAGACCATGCTGTATTAAATCCCTGATTGCCATGGCTAGGTCTTTTCTCACAGTCTGTGTTAATAATGGACTGCTCATCTCTTGGCTCTGAATACAAAAATTACATGTGTATTAACCATTTTACTGCCATAAGGACTGCATATTTATGTCCTTATTATTTTTGGGGTATTTGTCATATGGTAGGCTTTTGCCGTTTCTATAATAATAATAATAATTATAATAATAATAATAATAAATATAGAGATAATTATACCATCGATAATAATAATAATAATAAATATAGAGATAATTATACCATCGACAATAATTATTATTATACTAGCAGATTTGGAAATATATATAATTATTATAATACTAATAACAAATAATAACAAGCAATTATCATAGTATTGCAAGCAATCCATATGTCCCCTACCGGTTAGAACCCCATCAACATTCTGAAGGGCCATTGGCCATTCAATAATGTTTCAATTTTTCTCTATTTTAAAAAAAAATTTTTGGAAAAGTTCTTTAAAAGTGATCACAGGATACAGTTTTTATGAACAGACAGACAGACGGACTGAAAGACACTCTAAAGTTAATATTTGAAACATCCCTGTTACCAAAATATAACATTTTTAAAAGAAAAATTCTTAAAGAGGAGATAACTCTTGAATTAAAGTAGTCCTATAAATATGACGTCGCTTTGAGATATTTTTGCTTATGGGCAAAGCAACGTCATATCGAAATTGCTCAAAAACCCATAGCATGTTCCGCCAGAAAATCGGGCGGAACGAAAAACAATGAAGACAGCGTGTATTTACATATTTTTTGACCTATTTATGAACAAAACTAAAAAATAAATACCTTTTGTCAAAATAATTAAACTGTCACATCCGAAAAATCATGATTAAATCCTCTCATGTATTTCAATTCCTTTTACAGCCCATAAACAAATGGCGGCCGTAAAGTGCGCGAAATCTGATTGGCTAATTCAAATGCAAGCGTTTAACTGTGTCAGAACAATCTAACGGAATATTTTTTTAACGAAATAATTGCCCATGCACCGTCAGTGTGTTTGAATATATTTTTCCGTTCAAAAATTTGGAATCAATATGTAAAGCACCTTGTTTAACCAGTATGGCTGATAGACAAAAACAGATTGATGTTTATATTTTATTTTAAATTGATAAGTACATCGTTTGACAGTTTTTGTGTATGATTGAGCTTGAAATTGAAAGAAAATAAGATAATCTTTTGAATAAAGCTTGCAAGGCAGGACAATAGACATTTTTGGAATTTTTTATGATGCTATGCGTTTTTGAGCAATAACTATTAGACGTCAGGCTTGACCGACAAAAACTATAACAAGCCTGTAACGTCTAATATATTGGACTAGAATTAAAGATGCAATTTCATAAAAATGTTCAGCTCTTTTTGACTAATCACAAATATTGTTATATTTGCCATGTTTTAAGCCTATTTGTTGCCAAGACAACTGATATTTTTTCAAAATAGGAAGAACAGATAAGGCATGCATAATCTCAAGACTGCTATCTACCCATATGTCAAGTTTCATAAAAATATTTCCAGTTCTTTTTGAGTTATCACTGGATTCAGTTTATGTGTAAAATTTGCCATATTTTCAGTCTATGTGTTGCCATAGCAACCAGAATTTTCAACATAGGAAGAAAAGAAAAAAACGTGCATAATTTCAAGACTGCCATCTACCCATATGTCAAGTTTCATAAAAATATTTCCAGTACTCTTTGCGTTATCACTGTATCCAGTTTATGTGTAAAATTTGCCATATTTTCAGCCTATTTGTTGCCATAGCAACCAGAATTTTCAACATAGGAAGAAAAGAAAAAGACGTGCATAATCTCAAGACTGCCATCTACCCATATGTCAAGTTTCATAAAAATATTTCCAGTACTTTTTGCGTTATCACTGGATCCAGTTTATGTGTAAAATTTGCCATATTTTCAGCCTATTTGTTGCCATAGCAACCAGAATTTTCAACATAGGAAGAAAAGAAAATGACTTGCATAATCTCCATACTGCCATCTATCCATATACCAAGTTTCATAAAAATATTTTCAGTACTTTTCAAGTTATCGCGGGATCCAGTTTTGCGGACGGACGGACTGACAGACAGACAGACGGACGGACAGACGGACGGAGGGTAAACCTAAAGTCCCCTCCGGTAAACCGGTAGGGGACTAATAATTATATTAATTTTATAATATAGTAATTTCTTAAAAAACCCTCTGGCAAATATGTGATTAATAAATCAATAACCCTTTGGCAGCGAAAGGGTTAATATCTTTTCTTAACTCTAAACCAGCTGGAACTGAAAGTGATTGACATATTTGCCAGCAGTAGAGAACCATGCTAGGCTGCAACTTTATGAAGCTTGATTGTAGCTTTTTAGTATTTGGATACTGAAATCTACTAGTCTGTAGAGGCGACACAAAATCACAATGAAACATATATATATATATATATACTGGAGATATAGCAATAATAAATGGTAGAAAGCCTCCTTATGCCGAGGTGTAGCCATAAAATCTTTTTAGGAGATGTAGCTATAAAGCATTTTCTTGTAGGCAGTGTAGCCATATCAGGATATAAAACATATGTTAGACATACCTCCTCAGAGTCACTGTTAAACTCTGGTTTGTCCTCATCATCATTAACTGGCTGATATTTAGCTGCTGTCATTACTTTATCTATTGCAACTTCTAACCTGGCCCTCAAATCTCTGCAAATATACCAGTTAATTTTATTTCTCAATATTGACAGTGACAAGAGCATATACACTATGTTTAGTACTTATGACTTAAAAACTTATTATTTTGGACAAGAAAGAAATTGTAAGTATTATAACTAAACAAGTAATAAATATTTTGACTAAACAAGTACTATTTAGATTAAACAAAATTTATAAGCACTATGACTTAATAAAAGTTGTAAGTACTACAAATAAACTTTAACATATTATTCCCAAGCAACATATAAGGGCAAGTGGATTTAAAATCAGCAACTTTAACCACTTGGCCAGAGAGACCACTAAAAGGTTTCATCATACACTTGATGAATATGCAATAGAAAAATACAGATTTATAGCTGTAAACACCTACCCCCAATGATTGCCTTTAGCCGTCTTTTTCATTGCATTTTTCTGGAAATTTCTACTGCCACAACCTAGTTGTGTAATGAGAAAGATCTGCAGCATGTGGAGTGTCCTCTTTAGCTGCTTCACATGACTCTCTTGATCCTGGTGGGGAAGTTGTTTAAACATTTCATTAAAAAAGTTTGTTTTCACAAAACTGATTTAAAAAAAAAAAAAATTCTCCTATTATACATTATAAGTAAAAATAAACACAGCACATGCTATTAGCTATAACTCATTTTGTTCTATGATTAAAGAAAAAGGAAATGAAACTTAGATAAAAAAGAAGACAAACAATGCTTCACTTCTTTAAAAATGCTATAGTAGCTGAGAGGTAGCCTAATAGTTACAGAGTCTCAGAGCAACAGATAAGGTGCGTATTTGCGTATTTACGCAATTAATTTTATAAAATACGCAATTGATTATTTAAGAATGCGTATCAAAACCCATCTAAAAAAATAAAATACGCAATTGTCTTAAAAACCCGTGCGTATTGTCATTTTCATCACCGTAAAGTTAATCTGTCGTATGCTAGTTGTTTTGGACCAATTATATTGATATGCATGCTATCCAAATATTCCCGAATCAATGCTAACTATCAACGGTTTCCGGTCTTCAACGGTCCCCGGTCTCCAAAGACCGACTAAGCCATATCAATAAAGCATGAGACCGTCGATTTGTCTACTCAGGTCGTCGGTCTTTACAGACCGGCAGAGACCGTTGATTTTGCGGAGACCGTCAATAAGTAGGTCCCAGCTGTATCAAAGCAATATGGCGTCGTACAAAAGGGAAAATGATTTGAAACATAACAGACGTAAATAATCAAAAATCAGTCAAAAAACGAACTTGTTAAAAATATTATGAAATATAACATGAGCATTTTATATAAAACATAAAACAATTGTGAAAAGTTCTAGTAATTTGTTAATCCTATTTTCTTTATCATATTCATATCTTCATAATTGATCTTGAAATCATAGGGTATCGAGTTTTGGAATACCCAATTAAATTGAGCCAATACCCAATTCCAAAGGAAATGATGGAGTAATACCCAATTCACTTTAAAAGCTTATCTGTTGCTCTGGTGTCTGCGTCTCAACCAATGAATTAAAAGTTTAACCCTACTGCGGCTGGCTATATTTAGGGACATACTTACACCAGAACCATCAACACTTTTATCCTTCCTGTCTTTACTCACACTTTTCTCATCAAAATTAAACTGTAGAGAAAAAGAAAATAATTTCATATCAATACAAATAAACCTAATTTGTTTTCTTATTTATTATTTCTATTTTTTGTTTGGGTTTTACACCCCACCAATACAGTATAGGTCATATGGAGACTTTCTAGATTTACTAGAAGAAGAAGACCTCAGGTGCCATTCCATACATTATTTCAGGCACCTGAGCAAAACAACTGATGTTCTGTAAGCTAGCTGGGTAGCTTCCCCACGCAAAAAGAATCCAAGTTCCTTGTCAGAACACAAACATACAGCATTGAGGGGCAAGTGGTTTGAAGTCAAGGATTTTAACCACTCAGCTACCGACCCTCTAATTTGTTTATTTAAAAATTGCACATTGCACAGGTATACTGCTAATACCAATGTTAACATTATCAAACCTATCAAATTCTTTTTTCAAACATTTTATATTCTGTTCTCTTTACAACTACAAAAGGCACTGATTCCAGTATTGCGAGGGTTTACTTACCTTATTTTTTCCTTTTCCCTCAGATTGGTGAACTGGACAAGTACACCTGTGTTCACCAAGAGGACCAGGGCTAGTGGCTTCTCCTGAACGTAAAGAAATATACATGTATTCATATACATGTTAAGTACATAGAGTAATTCATTTAACATAAAATAAAATATGTTCCAGCTTACTCAAGTTAACTTGACAACCAAATCTGAAAACTTAGCCGCATAACTTAAAGATTGAATGTCTAATCTTTGACCTGTATGTGAGACCTTGACATAAAAAATACCTTGATCAGACACACAATAAAATTCATATCATGGTAAATTTTTGTGTCAAATCATTTGAAAATAAAAACAAAAGTATGTATTGACAAATATTATCTACTTCTTAACTTTAATGTGTAGCCTATATACTTTAAATGTATGAGGGTGAGTGATGTATGGAAGAAAGTCTGACCTCCAATAAACATCCCACATCAATTTGAAAAATAATTTCATCAATACAAGTCAAATTAAGTAAAGAGAAAAATTCCTTACCTTGTAGAAAGTCAATAAATCTCTCTAGGTCAGTTATCTGTGTTTTTAATTGAGTCACTAACTTCTCTTTTACCCTTGCTGGGTTAACAATCTGAAAATGATTAATTCAATTTTACATTTACCCTCATACATTTATATAATAAACTTTCCTGCTTTGAACTTGGAACCAACTATTGTTGAATTTAGGAAAAGTTATATCAATATACTAAAACTAAGTTTTGTACAGTATAATCCCTGGTCACACTGAGCAAGCTGGTCTATCATAATCAAGATATCAAGATATCCAAAATTCAAACAGTGTAAAGATGTAACAAAAACAATTCTATTATGTAAGAAAAGTATCCTTATGAACTGAGTGATAACTGAGTGATATTGAATAGGGTGAAAACATCAGGGAAGACGACATGCTTTATGCGTTAAGATATTGATTTTATTGAAGATGGTTTAAAATATCACGTATATATGTCATACAACAGCAATATCTGTCATTAACTTCCTGAAGAATTAAACAGCTGTTGTTGACATAAAATCATTTTAACCTATCTTACTCTCTTATAATATATCTTTAAAGAAAATGCAAAATATATACTGGTATTCAGATTACTTCTATACAAATAAAAAGGAAGAAAACTTGCATCAGTCTAAAATAGATTTTATATAAAAAAATTGCCAGTTTTTGTAAACATTTCATAAATCTTGAAAGATGCAGATGTTCTCTCTATTTCTGGTTACAAATACATATATCAAATTGACCAAAAATTAATAATGACTAACGTTTAGGAGAAAATATTAAAACTGGCGAAAAAATAAAAAGACTGTCCCAATTTTTTTTATAAATTAAACATTACCGATAAATTCAAAGGGATATTTATAGATATTTATGTAGGTCACAGAGGTTATTGATTATTCGGATGACATATAAATGTATTTTAAAATATAAAACAAATATGACAAAATGTAAAGCTCATTTAAATTTTACCTTAACATTTACCATTTCCTCATGAATGGGCATAATGTTACTTTAAACATTACAATATTACACATTTGTTATCGCTGAATTTGAATGAATAAACAAGGCATTTATATCATCTATATACACAGCTGCTGTCAATTTATTGAATTAATTTTTTTACATTTTCCACAAATAAAGGGATTATGCAATGTTAAAATATCTAATATAAAGTTTGTGTGTGTGTGTTATATGGCTGTGTAAAAAATATTGTTTGCCATATAACATGTGAGATTCTGCTTAAATTATTAGTTATAAAAATATGACAGGTCATATGGCCCTGGATAAACAGTTGCTTACAGGGATACCAAATTGAATTGAGAAAGTTCAAAAGTCTTTAATTCTCTTTGGTGTGAAGCTTTGGGGATGTGACTGAGATGTTGAATTAAATATCACCCCTTTTTCCTTTGTGTTTCTATTTCTCTGGAAAGAGCTCAGTATTTGAAATTTTACAATAGGGGCATGATTAACACTATACTATGTAAAAATACTAGTTTAAGGTAGTACACCCCTAATGCACTGTCTCCACTTTGAAGAGTATTCAAATAGGCTAAAATCACTGTAAAGTGTATTGAAACTGAGGGGGCGTGGGTTCAAACCCCAGAAGGGGCAATTTTTTTTCTTTCTTTTTTTTCTTTTTAACATTTTTTATTAATCTCTCAGACCCCCTATGGAAGAAAAAAGTGTTTTATTTTAATTATATTATTATTGTAGGTATTTATTTACTAAATAATGCCAAATTTAATAGCAAATATGATACCAGATATTTTCAAAGTTTAATAAAATAAAAACTAAACGGTAAAAGTATTTTATATTTTGCAAGACCAACCAATATACATTAAAGAAAATTTAGGCAAACTTTGAAAATAGCCCCTCATTTTGGAAAATTTTAGGGATATTCTAAATAAGGCTTTTTACATAGGGAAATGGTCAAATAAGTGTTAAAAGTGGGTGGGGTAGGGTTACATTTTAATACATATTAAAAACATTTCGTTTAAAAACAATCATTTTGCTTGTTTAATTTGTTACCTAAATGTCATTATTTATTTCTGAACAATGAGCAAAAGGAAAACATTTTTCATATTGATGATATTATAGATTATTTAGAGTTTCCTCATTTCTGAAAAAATCCCTTCTAATGGCAAAGTTTTAGTTCATAAAAATGTCCATAACTCATAAACCACACGGTAAATTTTGTTTAAATTTTGCATACAGGTGACATTTAATGCATATAACTGTCCTATGTTGTCAAATTTACAATTCCTTATAGTGCCCATTAGGGGTGTACTACCTTAACTCGTGTTAAAATATCCCTTGAGCCAGGAGACAGACTGTGTTCCCTTTCATTTTTGAACTTGTAGCAGAAATGGGCTTATGTTTTCTGTAACATGTTACCTTTTAAATGGGATGGGGAGGTATTGGTTTAACAGTGAAACTGCTATAATATTGATACAACATTTTTTCCCCTTGGTTTCAAGTACTCTAATAAATAGTTACCTGGCCTACAGCATGATCCACCACTTGTCGTAACTCCTCAGTACTGAAATCACACATCAAGCACCAAAAACATGTTAGTCAGTTGCAAGTGTTAGTACTGCATTCAAAACAATTTATCAAACCTCTACAAGCGGGTGCAACCTATTACTTATTCTAACATGGTTGTCATTATTTCCATTTCAAAACAAAACAATCAAGCAAATACAGACATGATACCTGTATATGAATGGGAATAGACATTGCATTACTATACTGGTTGGAGAGATAACTCTGACACATAGATAACTCTATCCACTTGATAAATATTATTGTTATAACTTTGTTTTTCAACAAACAAGCACATCGTCACCTAGTAGTATAGGAGCAGGGCAGAATGTGATGATATTTGGTAAACTGTTAAATATTTTTCAAATAACCTAAACTTTTCATTGATAAAAATGGCTTCACAACATTCTTTTTACTAAATTACAATAAGGTAGTTAGAATTGTAATGTATTGACCACAGGCCACTGACTTGGGAAAGATTCTTAAAAATTTGTTTTATATCAACAAAAATTAGATAAAACATATAAGGTGTAAAAATAAATTATTGATTCTGATATTTCTGTCATCTTTTACTTAAAGATATAATAGTTAACTTTATCTACTGTTGTGGGGTAAAAGGCTTTGTTTTGTATACCTCATTCAGGACCTTTAAGTAGTAGTTTCAATTTTTCAAACATAATTTTTATAGTGTAATGTAAGTAATTAAACTAAACTTTGTTTAGGTGGTTCAATATTTTAAAATACACAGGAAGATAACTAAAATATTGCAAACAATATGTGATTTAGTGTCAGAGTTATCTCTCCAACCAGACCAGTATATCTTTTAACAGACTGTTATTTGGGTGGCATGTGGTTTATAACTCAGAAAAGTTTTTTGTGTGACCTTCTTGACTATAATATTTCTCATATTAACTCAAACCATGCAATACCACACAACAATGCACTCAAAAATCAGTATCTCTTTTCTTAATTATATCATAATACAATTGTCAAATCTGAAAGAGCAATATATAAATCAATCAAGCAATATATATTGTTCAATCATTAACCACCATGCCAATATAAAGACAGTGCAGCAGATTCAAGTCAGAAAACTAATAGCACGACAAACACACAAAAGTGTTAGTATAAACTTTATCATTTTCATGCTTGATTATTGTAAACCATTAGTCCTTTACTGTGAATATGCTATATCAAGTTCAAAATCAAAATGCTTAAATTATGCTACCAACAGTAAAGAGCCTGTTCAGACTGAACAGATGTGACAGCACTCATGGCTATAATTATACTGGTGGCTTGAGTCTCTATTACTGTAAGTGTTGTGATAATTGAAAGAATCTTACCTTAGTTTATCAAGTTTGTCGATTTTCAGATCAAGTGTGTTTCTTAGTTGATCTAATACAACTTTTTGTTTCTCTATCTGTTTGCTTGTAGGTAGCTCCTTTGACTCTCCAGTCTGTAAAATTTAAGTAGAGGCTTGGTACAAGTAAAATTGAAGTTGGATATAAATAAAATACAACCAAATAGACAAGGATCTGTTATAGCATTAAATAAGCTGGTGCCAAAGTAACATGTAAACTCATAAGTTGGTGCCAAAGTAACAAGTTAACTCATAAGCTGGTGCAAAAATAACATAACTCCTAAGCTGGTGCCAAGTAACATGTTAACTCATAAGCTGGTGCCAAGTAACATGTTAACTCATAAGCTGGTGCCAAATAACATGTCAACTCACAAGCTGTTGTCAAAGTAACCTGTTTACTGATAAGTTGGTGCCAAAGTAACAATTTAACTCATAAGCTGGTGCCAAAGTAACATGTTAAACTAAAAAGCTGGTGCCAAGTAACATGTTAACTCGTAAGCTGGTGACAAAGTAAAATGTAAACTAAAAAGCTGGTGCCAAGCAACATGTTAACTCATAAGCTGGTGCCAAAGTAACATGTAAACTAAAAAGCTGGTGCCAAGTAACATGTTAACTCATAAACTAGTGCCAAAGTAACAGGTTAACTCTTAAGCTGGTGCCAAAGTATTATGCTAACTCATAAGCTGGTGCCAAAATAACATGTTAACTCATAAGCTGGTGCCAAGTAACATGTTTACTCATAAGCTGGTGCCAAGTCACATGTAAACTCATAAGATGGTGCCAAGTAACATGTTAACTCATAAGCTGGTGCCAAGTTACATGTTAACTCATAAGCTGGTGCCAAGTAACATGTTAACTCATAAGCTGATGCCAAGTAACATGTTAACTCATAAGCTGGTGCCAAGTTACATGTAAACTCATAAGCTGGTGCCAAATAACATGTAAACTCATAAGCTGGTGCCAAGTTACATGTAAACTCATAAGCTGGTGCCAAAATAACATGTTAACTCATAAGCTGGTGCCAAGTAACATGTTAACTCATAAGCTGATGCCAAGTAACATGTTAACTCATAAGCTGGTGCCAAGTAACATGTTAACTCATAAGCTGGTGCCAAAATAACCTGTTAACTTATAAGCTGGTGCCAAGTAACATGTTAACTCATAAGCTGGTGCCAAAGTAACATGTTAACTCATAAGCTGGTGCCAAAATAACCTGTTAACTTATAAGCTGGTGCCAAGTAACATGTTAACTCATAAGCTGGTGCCAAGTTACATGTTAACTCATAAGCTTGTGCCAAATAACATGTAAACTCATAAGCCGGTGCCAAGTAACATGTAAACTCATAAGCCGGTGCCAAAAATAACATGTTAACTCATAAGCTGGTGCCAAGTAACATGTTAACTCATAAGCTGATGCCAAGTAACATGTTAACTCATAAGCTGGTGCCAAGTGACATGTTAACTCATAAGCTGGTGCCAAAATAACCTGTTAACTTATAAGCTGGTGCCAAGTAACATGTTAACTCATAAGCTGGTGCTGCCAAATTAACATGTTAACTCATAAGCTGGTGCAATGAAACATGTTAACTCATAAGCTGGTGCAAAGAAACATGTTAACTCATAAGCTGGTGCTAAAGTAACATGTTAACTCATAAGCTGGTGCCAAGTTACATGTTAACTCATAAGCTGGTGCCAAGTTACATGTTTACTCATAAACTGGTGCCAAGTAACAGGTTTACTCATAAACTAGTGCCAAAGTAACAGCTTAACTCTTAAGCTGGTGCCAAAGTATTATGTTAACTCTTAAGTTGGTGCCAAGTAACACGTTAGCTCATAAACAGTGCAAAGTAACAGCTTAACTCTTAAGCTGGTGCCAAAGTAACATGTTAGCTCATAAACAGTGCAAAGTAACAGGTTAACTCATAAGCTTGGACTAATGTAAAATAGCACCATAAAACCTAAAATCAAAATAGTTATAAAATGTCATCTATTGAGCTTATACCAAAGTAAGATATCACCTTATAAACACTGACTTTTAAGTATTCAAATATTATCTCATGAGCTCAAGCTGGGACTTAAGTCATTTGTATTAAAATTTTACCTCATAAGCATAGGTCTCAAGATCTTCAAGTTGTGACTTAAGTTGGGTAATTAGCTCCCTTTGTTTTTCTCGTTGTTCTGACAATTTTGTTTCATGCTCTCTGTCACTCTGTAAAAGATAAAGTTGGTTTGTTTCTTCAAATTATTAATATTTTAACAGTATTTCAGTCATATATCAGTAGACAGTGTCCCAAGACTCTACTCTGCTCCTTAAATATCTGTTTCTCCACAAGTAAATGCCAACTTCTCATACCAAATAAATCATTTGAAAAATCTAAGACATAACACAAAATATTATCCTGATCACTCAAATTGTTTCAGACAAAAATACAGCAGTCAAGGAAGGAATTTCAAGTCTTGGTTGTAAGATATACTTCAGAGAATCTGTATTCCAAAAAACTTTCACAACCCTGATTCTGTATCATAAATGTATTACCTAAATTATTCAAACAAACCTACCATTTCTTCCAGAATCTGCGCATCTTGCACCTTGCAACCTCTCACATCTGGTATACCTTTAAAGGCAAACTCTTCCAACTCCTTTAATAGTGTCTAAAATAATAAAAAATGTAATATTGTAAATATTGTCATCATGATTATCACTTATTCCAGACATACAAAACTTATGGTTTTGTTATGTTTTTTTTGTGTATTTTTGGTGGAGGAGTAGGGTATTAAAATATGTTTTATATCAATGGGTTAATAAGTACATGGCTATGACTTGACTACAAGCCTCATTTCAAGCAATAAAATGCTGAAGAAGTTCATACTGTTAAAACGTTGTTAGCACCCAGAGACAGTAACATGAAACACGAAGCTTTAAAGAAATGTTTGTTAAAATATGGAAAAAATACAGGGCAGATAAGAAACTAGCAATTGTAAAATGCCTTATTAAATTAATAGTTTACACATTTTTCATGTTGTAGAGACACCATTTATTCTAAGGTGCTTTGGGGACACTCCACCTTTTACCAGTGATAAGCTATTAAAGATACCCCACTGTTCATTATTAACGGCACAAACAAGCATATTGGATAGAACCATCATGTAATTTCTATACACTTTCTTCCTGTTTAACATTTCATGAAAATTTCTTGTCAACAATGTTATCAATTAGATCCTAAAATGGTGATGGTCAATTGATATAATTTATAAAGCAAGGCTTCGATTAGTGGAAATTTGGGAGTCATTTTATTCTGATTTTGGCTTGTGACTTACAAAATATAGTGCTTTTCCTTCTTTACCTAAATAATGTGACTTTCAGATATTTTCAGCCTCTGATTTCCAAATTTTCAAACTAAATGGAAGCCCTGATAAAGTCAGTAGGTTTAACCACTGTGTCAATAATGTCTTCATTACTAAAATATTACAAAATCGTCACCTTAGTGCAATAACTGGTTAACTCCTATTAAATTTAGAAGGACTTTAGCCTGTTATTGCATTAAGGTGACAAAATCACCTAGAACATACCTCTTTGTCATCATTATCTGCACTAACAATCTGTTTAAGTCTGAATTGAACTTGTGCAAAATGTGTTGTTAATGCCAACAACGAAGAGTTCAGTTGTTCTTGCTCCTCTTCAAGCCTTTGCAGCTCCTCAGATTCACTACGGTGACTGAAATATACATTACTGCATTGTATTACAGCTGAGCATACTGTCTTATAGAAAAACAAGTGGCTGAATAAATCTGAATAAAATGCTTGTGCGGATTCATGATGATTGAAACAATAGAGTACATGTTCCATTATTACTAATTGTCCTATAATTTAACCAAACATTGCAAATACGGTACAGTTACTCAAACATCTCATAAACAGTACTCTGAGATTTCCTAATTATTCTAAATTGAGTCAAGCTAAGCTAAGAAAGCTATGCACATCTTGAAGATTTTACAAATTGTTTAAATCATCAGATATTAATTTTTATGTTTTATTGATTACTTTCAAACATAAACCCACTGATATAAATAAAAAAAAATCATTAATTTGTGTGTACACTAGTGTTTAACTGTTTAATACCATACATGTATAATATGTATGATGTAATTGGTACACTTAGACATACAATTTTGTTTGATAATATGCTTAAAAAATTTAAAAGGACCTCTATTATACCAATCATAACCTTGGTAATCTAACAATCATAACCTTAAGTAAATACAAATCAATACAAATCATATAAATCATAACCTGAGCATATACTAACCATTACTGTGAGCATATACAAATCATAACCTTGAGTATTTAACAATCACCTTTTTCCAGGTTTGTACATGATAACAGAAAGTGATAAAGTTGGTCAAACTCATAAAAACAATTTATGAATGAACTAAGCAATGATCTATTAAATTACCTGTGTTCTGTTTGAGAAGAAACAATTCATGAATGAACTAAGCAATGATCTATAATTACCTGTGTTCTGATAGAGAAGATGATGGTTCAGGGTTTGATACAGCACCTAGTGGGGCCCATCTTTCTGTTGGTCTGTCAGAATCATATTCTTGCTCATCATAGCTGTCATAGTTAGCAGTATCGTCTGTTGTTGAAGCCATATTTGTTTCCTGAATTGTTCTATATTAAAAGATTAAGTGTGATTTAATTTATAGATGTTTTCCTTCTATTACAAAGTAAATCACTTTAACAATGTATTTTTTCCCTATAATGTCACCATTTTCTTCTATAGAGTTACCTTCCTTTACTCAGACGTCACCTTTAGACAAAGTAAACATTCCCAATGCATGATTATGGTTTCCCCCAACGCATGATTATGTTCCCCCAACATGTGAAAATAAAATCCCAAATTACCTGCTTTAGATAATGTCACTAATTTAGAAACCAAAGATACCCAGGTCGCCAAATAGACTTTAGAATGAACAAAACTGTTCTTTTGCATCATATTAGTAGAAACCAAATTATCTAATTTATATAATGGTAAATGTACCATATGATAATTGTTTCATATCATGATAAAACTAAAATTCCATGAGAAATAACATTCTTATCTTATTATAGCATAATACCATATGTACATGTATCTATAAACTGTGATGTAACCATTTATCTCTTATCATTGCTTCAAACTTACTCTGCTACATACATAAGATGGGACTTGTCAAGCATTAACATTTGCCTTGTTATATGATAGTAGTATATAAACATTCTAAATTATATGAATACTAAAATAAAACAGCCTACAGTGTGAGGTTTGGCTGGGTTGGGGAAAAATGTGTTTAACCCAACCCAGAGAGTATTACTACTAGGTACAGGGCTCTCACTCTCAGTAGGGTCAGAATTTTACAAGTCAAAGTCTCTTTAGCCAAAATTTTCATGAGTCAAATCAGTTTTTTTTTTTTTGAGTCATTTGACTACATGAATCATTTTCATGTTTTGGTAACTTTGAAAAGTCATTTTTAGTAGATCTTCAAGTTTAAAATTGATAATATTTAATATGGAAAAAATGCCTAACTATATTCCTCGGACCTCCTATAATATATATACCCCCTACCCCAAAAAAAACAACAACAAGAACCCGTTTTGAACCGGTTGATGCTCCCAGAATAGGTTTTTGACACAGGAAAGTACACCTCTTGTAGTTCCCTGGACAAAGTTCAAAGTGAGATAGTTCCAGAATTAGGCAAAGTTTAAAGTGCAATAGTTCCAGAATTATGCAAGGCAGAGTAACTATTCTTTGCACTGGACTTCTAATAAATAAAAAAACTCCAAAATAAGCCAAGGCAGAGTTATGTTTCTTGTGCAATGCACATCTACCCGTTAAGATCTATCTACCTACAAAGTTTCATGTTGATATCTCCTATAATTTTAGAGTTATGTCCCAAACAAAGTTCAAAGTGTAAAAATAAACAAAGGGCAATAACTCCAAAACAAGGCAAAGCAGAGTTACGATTCTTGTAAACTGCAACTCCACTTATTGAGATATATCTACCTACAAAGTGTCATGTTGATATCTCCTATAGTTTTAGTTAAAAGGGGAGATAATTCAAAAATTGGGGCTTAACAGAGTAATGGTTCTTTTGCAATGTAGTTCTACCCAATGAGATCTATCTACCTACAAAGTTTCATGCTGATATCTCTTATAATCTTAGAGTTATGTTCCGGACAAAGTTCAAAGTGTAAAAATAAACAAAGGGCATAAACTCCAAAACTAGGTAAAGCAGAGTTATGGTTCTTGTGCACTGCACAGCTACTCATTGAGATCTAACTAATACAAAGTATGTTAATGTTGATAATCCAATTAATTAGATATTTATAAAAGTTATTAGATACTCCAGATTTTAGTTAAAAGGGGAGATAATTCAAAAATTGGGCATTAACAAGAAAAGTAAGGGGATTTTGTCTCAATGTACTTCTAACCCAATGAATCTATCTGACCTAGAAAGTTTCATGCTGATATCTCTTTCCTTAGGAGTTAATTACTCATTGAGATCTAACTAATCTAACTAATATTCATTTTTGTATGTATAAAAATGTTGATTATAATGAGAAAATTAATTAATATTTATAAAATAATATTAAAGCAGCACGCCTCCAGATTCATGCTAATTTTCATGAAAATTTTGAAAATGCATTCAAACATGTAATAGTGTGAAGTAACTTAAAGGAAGCAATTTACACATTATCAATTGCACTTACAAAGTGACAAACCACATTAATTACCAAAAGGTGGTCAAAATATGCATAAATAGCCTTTACTGCGTTACTAACGCAGTAGAAATATGGTGGTAAATACTGAAATATCAGTCATTAATCGTACATTATATGTAAAGTATTACTTGATTCTTGAAAATTTTTACTTTTCCTTACATCTTAGTGCATTTTTTCTTAAGTTTGGTTTTATTGAAATATTTTTACTAATCTGGAGGCATGTAGCTTTAATATGACTTAGCTGCATATAACATACATGTGATATCCCGGCGGGATTTAAAAAAATCCCGATATTTCGACACTGATCCCGATTCCCGATATTACAGCTTGAATTCCCGATATTTAAAAAAAAAATCAACATAAAAAAAATCAAACACAGCACCTGTATCTAAAATGTAAACCGTGCCTCTGGGCATTGATTGTTATCTGTCCATATCCTAAATTACAGCGGATTAAATGTTGAGTCGCTAATTGACAGCAAGGCGACTAATAAACAGTTCCATCACCCAAAATTTATCATGTTCAGTTAATTGACCTCCTTTCTAATTTGGCAGTAGGTATTACACGCTACGTCATCAATACGTCATCAAAACGACCCTGTAAATTTACATGTATGAATTCGGCTCAACCTTTGATTAGTGCCGGACTGATAAAGATTAAAGGTAAGCAGAATCATTTAAAGTGGATCATTTGAGATGCGACAAAACCATGTCAAATTAACCTTTTTAGTGAGTGGGTAATTTTTTTGTTTTGTTTAGGAATTATACAATCATCGAGGCAAAAATGTGGATTTAATTTACTGAACGGTTCTTGCATTTATTTTGAGTCTTCTACTTACGTTACGTTATTTACCTGTCGGAGTCTTGTGTTTTAAATTATTAGCCAATTATTGTATGACTGAAAAGACAGATATAATTATTTAAACTGAAAATAATGAAATGTGAAAATTGAAAATGTGACTGTTTTAGAAATAGCCTGTACGACCACACTTATTTATTTTTCTATTTATTTATTTTTTGGTGAAATAAATTAATATTGATCAACAAAAAAATCATAAAAAAATATAATAATTTAATGATTTTGAGCGTAATATAGATTCTTTGAAGCAAATGTGCCAAACACGCATTGAAATTCGAGTCGCTAAAAAATCCAGTTTTGAGTCTCAAAATCCAGCTGAAAATCCAGATTTGGCCCATTTCATCTGTCACATGTATGATATAACTTTCATTCATTCTGTTGAAATGGGCAGCTGAGATATTGTAAGAATTGTGACATTTGCTGATCTAGGTTCATCAATGAATAAACTTGCAATTTTAGATAAAGATATGATAGTTATTGTTGTCTACATTTAATTGTTTAAGGTATAATTTAGTTGAAATTTCATACAAGAGTGAAGAGTCCATCATATTATTCTTTTTAAATTTAAAATAGCTTTAACTGGAGTAGATCTACATTTGGGTATATTTCGGTTCGAAACACACCGATAGGAAAATGTATATTTGGTTATATATAAGTGAAAGTACATATTAAATTCATAATTAAAACAGCATTTTTTTATTTTTTGTCTATTTGGGCAATGTTTGGGCATATTTGTGCAATGTTTGGGTATTTTGTGCTGCCCATTGAAAAATAAAATATTGGGACTTTGTTTAAGAAACAAAATTACAAATATCTATCAGGTAAGGTGGGTGGTTTCTTCCTTTCATTGTTAGTTATCTCTCCCAATAACTTCTAATCGGGCAGTGATAGTGTCCATGTAGATAGAACCAAAACGGTGACAAATATGTTGCAATGCTATAACTGTCATCCAAAATGCTGCAAAAAATAATGACAACGACAACTTCCTAGATGTAACAAAATATAATTAACTTGTCTAAAACCCACAAACAGATTTAATTAATTGAACAGTTGAATTGTTGAAATTATACAAAGATGCTGCAGCAATATAATTCTAGTCGATACAAAACAGAATTATCAAATCTAACACCAAAAATACTAATTGCAAATGAAATTTCACCTGGTTAGTTTTTATTTTAGAAGGTCCTCATGCTTGTTTTTTAAATAAATATGTCAATTGTTTCTTATTTTGCATCGCCTACGCACTTTGTTGACATCTGTTCCATGTTCAATATCCGGGATATTTGGCACCGGTGAAACGTAAGAACTGACAACAAAAAACGCCAATAAAATTGTTTCACGCCACTAAATAAATCATTTAATCGTAATAGGCTGAACACTGGTAAAACAAGCCTATAAACCTTTAAAATGATAATTATTTAGAAATTTGGAGAAACTAGCAGTCGCTTAAATTAAAATATTTCGTCTATATGGACCCGGAAGCAGTCAGTCTGTAATTTAAAAGGGGTACGTTACGATACCGAAATCAACTTGATTTCGGTAAAGTTACCGAAATCAACTTTTCATTACCGAAATCAACTCGTAAAAACCAACCTAGTTAAAATATTGCTATTATTTCTTCATTATTTGATGAAAATTAGTGTAATAGACTTTCAGTTAAAAAATCTATTGAAAATATTTTATTTTAAAGATGTTATTAACAAAAATGTAATTATTGAGTTACTTCCCTTTGTTCTAAATGTTTAGCATTACCGAAATCAGCTGTTAAGTTTAAATTATGTATATAAATACATGTATAATACATATATAGTGATTATTTAAGATAATTTATGTTTTTGAAATTTAAGAAAACCCGACTGCATTGATGAAAGCGTTCAGTTGCAACAGAATAGATATCGCGTGTAATATCTGTTCAGTGCATCCAGGCCACACCACGGGGAGGCGCTCTCTTCATGGCCCATCTTTTTTTCTTTTCTTTTTTTCTTTTATTTTTTTAAGTAACATTGTAATAAATAAACAAATAACTAAATAAATAAATAACTAAATAAATAAATACTAAACGTGCGCTGTCGCTGATGCTTAAATACACGTGCTATAATTTCAATATACAGGCACGAACAGGGGTAAATAAAATGTTTAATTATTGTACATTATTTGAGTTAAAAAGAACAATGATGCGTGTAAAGCATTTATAGACAAGGAAACAACAATAAAATAAATGTTATTCCGGCATATAAGAACTTGTCGATATTTATAACGAACAGAACATTATCTTCTATTTCCACCGATTATTAATAGAATATGGAACATGAATATGAAAAAAAAAAGATATATATTCATTTAACACGGTACAAAATTAATGAACGAAGTAAGATTTTTTTCTCTAACCTATGAAATGAACTTTCGAACAGGGTTTGATTCACTTTAAGTCATTATGCAATAAAATATATTGCAGGTTTAGAAATATTTGGTACACAAATTATGTATGTTCAGCAACCATTTATTACAAGCATGTGATAAATCTGCACGTGATTATCGTGCATAATAATTTTCTAATCAAATCGTATTTTTAAAAAGCTATGATCGGACTATGATGGAAAAATATAATACTCTGTAATATGAGTTAAATCTAATAATAAATTTTGTACATGTTTATGTTTTATGATTTGGATACAGATGTATAATTCGACTGCTCTAAAAATTTTCCATAAACATTGTATAATGTATCAGGCAGTAAAACTGGAAATCGGAAAGTTTGTCTCTTTCTTTTATTGAACAGTTAAACTATATATTAACAAATCGCTAACATATGTTATGGGGACTCTTTATTATAATAGTTTTATATTTTAGTATTTATTTAAATGTTTATTGCGAAATAAATCGATGGTTCATTATAATCTTTTATCTTTAACATACATTGTATGTCAACTGTACATGTACCTCCTGTCTTAATTACTTCACACCTTACTTAATACAGTAATAAACAACATGTCATATCGTACAAGTTACAACATTTCATAATTGAAATTTGTCAGTATAAAGTGTTCCATTTTTTTCCATCATATAAATATATATCAGTCATTCCATAAATGTATGCTGTTTACAGATATGAAATTTAAAAAGATTATGAATCGATCAACATAAAATCATGACTTAACAACTTTTTCAATAAGTAGAATATGTAAATATATTATAAAGTATCCGGGACATCAAAAAAAATGCATACATTTTTGGAACAACTGATATGCAATTTGGTAACAATAATATCAAGGCACCCTGTCTCATATACCGAAATGTTTTCTACGGAAACGTATAGCGACCACCCCTACATGTTAGTTTAAACCGATCTTTTGACAATTTATTTAATATAACATTATATTTTACCAGCTTAATAGATCTGAAATATTTATAGTATAAAACTATATAAAAAAAGTCTTTCTAAAGTTTCCATGCGCCGATGTATATTAAAAAATTGCGGTTAACGAGTATGTAATGTCAACTAGCACCTCTATTGTCTGAGCACGTGTATGTTTGCTCTTTATAGAAAAGGTGTTATGATTACATGATAAATGGCAACCGCTACGTCTTTTTAATTAAATCAAATCATAATCATTGGATTTAAATTAAATACAGTTAAACTTCGTTCGCTCGAACTCGGATCGCTCGAATACCTCCCTTCGCTCGAACTCATCGCCCAGTCCCGGCAAAACTCCTATATAATTTATATTGTTCTACCTCGGATCGCTCGAACACCGATCGCTCGAACTCTCGAACCTGATCTCTGGTCCCTTCGGCAGAAATAAAGTGAAAATCACACCTTTTCGCTCGAACACAAAAAGACAGGTCGGTATGACAGTCGGCGACACATGTTTTTAACACCTCGTGATCGTGACAAAGGTTATACAAAATAAGAGGTGTTGTAATCGATTTGTTTGTTATGACAATATTGTTGATTTGTCGTTTATGGTAACGATAAAAAGAAAACAACTTGTGAAATAAGTGAAATATGCATGCAAATAAAGAATGACGTTTACCCGGACGGCTTTAATTACAACCGTGGTTCATGTAAAGTGAATCGTAACAGTGTTATCTATTTATAGAATGATACTTGTATGTGTGTTTATTTTAGTAGATGACTATAAATAGACGCTGCTGTAAATGTTTTTAATAAATATTTCATTCATTTATTTTTTTTAATTGAATTCATCCCATTATAAACATATAAATATATTTTGAACATTGTTCAACAAGTTTGGTGTGATTGCCCAATCGAACTCAATCAATTACTATATGCATGAATATAGATTAACACAGCGTACCGTTGATACTATAAAACACTGGGATAATAATTCTGAATATGAAACATGTGGAATATTCGGCAAACACATGTACTAACAAACAATTATAGTGACGCATTTATCATTCGACCGATGTAAGCTAGGAAAACCTTTAGGCATTTGATCAACGTAATAATAGTTCAACCTCGGTTGGCTCGAACTACCGATCTCTCGAACAAATTTTCACAGGCCCTCCGAGTTCGAGCGAACGAAGTTCGACTGTACTGTGATAATTTTCAATCAACTATGTTAATAGTGATCTAAATTAGGCGGATAACTTCAAACACAGTTTTGTTTAATCTTGTATTTTGAAATCATTAAGAATCATCAAAGAGATGATACGCTGCTATGTTATCTGACTTAAGGGAAAATTTAAACATTGAAAATAAGCGATATGAATTCAAAGTTTAAAACTCACTCAAATACCCTTTTAAATAGACTTCTGAAATTCATGCATTAGGGATTATTCTCATCTTTGAAATGAAATCGGATTTGATTTCGGTAATAAAACACATTAATAACAAGGGAAGTAATCATGATATGATATACATAATTATCCGTCTATAACATCATCATTTTTTATAATTAAATATTATTTTCCTTTGTTTATGGTTCAGTTTGAATGATTTTATATTAATTACTAAAACAAGATCTATTAAAATGTTTATTTTAACTTTTACAAGCCGATTTCGGTATGGTAACATATATTTCGGTTCGTGACAAATCAGGGAATTCAAGTAATCTTGATATTTAGATATTTGTTTCTAATTTCATGATTATTAATTATTTCGAACTGATTTTTTGCATAAAAGTCAAACTTAACCTATTGTAATATTTATGATGGAAAAAATATAATAAAACGTTTAATTGTGATTTTACAAGCCGATTTCGGTATTGTAACATATATTTCGGTTCGTGGCAAATCAGGGAGTAATCTTTATATTTAGTTATTTGTTTCTAATTTCATAATTATTTATTATTTCGAACTGATTTTTTGCATGAAAGTCAAACTTAACCTATTGTAATATATTATAATGGAAAAAAATATAATAAAACGCTTAATTGTGATTTTACAAGTTGATTTCGGTAATGAAAAGTTGATTTCGGTAACTTTACCGAAATCAAGTTGATTTCGGTATCGTAACGTACCGATTTAAAAGCGCTACGTTTAGGTCCCCATTAATGGGTTATCATACAGAGATACTGGTTGGGGAGATAACTCCGACACATAGTTTTTGAAGTATTATTGGTTTAACTTTTTTTTCAAGAAACAAGTACATCGTCAACTAGTTATATATGAGGACCACTGACAGTGATGATCTTTTTTAACTAAGTAAACTTTGTAATGTGTGTCAAATTCCCGGAACAAACTGTCTTAAAGTATTTTTTTACTAAACTTCCATAATTAAGGTAGTTAGAATTGTCACAGATCACAGCTAGGCAACCGGCTTCGGGAAGATTTTTTAAAGAATTGATAGAATAACAACAAAAAAATGTAATTTAGTGTTGTAGTTACATTTGTACTTTTAATTTTCCAACCAGTCTGGGACAAAATTATCTGGGACAAAAATATTTTTTGTCCCAGAACCCAGTACACGTACAAAAGTATTTAATTTTTAGCATATGGCCAAATGAATAGGGCATTCATATATATATATATATACATGTATGTATGTATGTATGTATGTATGTATGTATGTATGTATGTATGTATGTATGTATGTATGTATCTTGTTAAGATTATTAAAGAGAGCATAAAGCAACGTGAATGTGATTGTTGTGTATTTATCGTAACACAGTTTATGAGTATGAGCATCTATCATATCATACAAGAGAGAGAAAGAAAGAAAACGATTAAACGAATGAATGAATGAATGAATGAATGAATGAATAAAATGAATGAATCCCACAAAAACTATACAAAAAAACTGGGACATAATTTAATGGGGCAAGCATCTACA